CAACGGCCCCGTTACCCGATCCCGCAAGGCCTAAGCGAATTCAGTTGAATACTCGCGCGTCCGATGAAAGGGAACGCGCGATAAAATCACATTTCTGATAGTGGTGTATTGCGTCGTCTTCTCTACACAAGAGAAGTCGAAAAAAAATTCTTCGAACATATTGTGCTTCGAGCAGAGCCAGTGCGAATGCAGGGCATGTTGGCTCGGCTTGGCTCCTTCGGTGATTCGATTTATATTGTTTTAATGAATGACCTTTCACGAGACCAGACCCAACTGTCTGGTGGTTCTATGCGGTATGTTCTGGGCTCTGCAGGACGATGGATGGATGCGTCGAAGTGGGTGGTCGAAAGGGAGGGTTTCTCGACACAAAGGCGATTCATTTTCTTTTTTCTTTCATCCGGGTAGGCTGTCGGTCGGTCTCCTGGTTGTATTTTATACTGTGATATTCTTCGGTTCATGTTTGTCGTTATCACCCCTAGTCTGCCGGTGGCAGGCACTTTCTATTGCATCGTTACCTTTATTGTTAGCAAGGTACTCATAGATGCTAGTTCATATATCATGCTAAATGTAATCACTTATGCAAGATTAAATTCTACCAGTAGTGTTATTGCAGATAGTAGTATTACTGGAAGTCTCAAGATGAGATCACGTCAAGGGTCGTGGACGTTTCTAGGTGTGGGCAATTGCAAGCCTCATATTCCAAGATTTCCAAGCCATTGAACACAGATAACCTATTATGAATGTTTTGCTAATGAATAGCAGTCATTTAATTTACGTTTGCTACTTTCCATCACAAAGACAATCATTCACCATCAACTTAGCTTCCTGACCAAGAAATTGTGTTATCAAATCTTCAACATGCGGGTGAAGTTTCCATGCTTTGTTTCGACAACACCAACGGATTTGGACCCAAAATTGGCGTATAGTCTAAAACCAACTGATGAAGACAAAATAAAGTTATCTAGTACATTCTCATCCCCGTAGGGACCAAAATATCTCTAAAAGCGCAGATATACCTTGCCGTTGATAACGTGGGTCCACGGCCATGGAGGTGATTCCTGATAGATACTGGTATGTGCCAGTGTGAGTATGAGAAATCCAGGTTGGCAGCAGGCTCACGAAATGAACAGTTTCCCTGCCGACTCTGGAGTACTTTTTGCCTCTCTTCTTTGAGTTTATTTTTGAAACACCGATCCCTAAGACCGCTGCCAAAGAAGGAGGCATCAAATTGTCCTGGGGGTTCACCTGTGCTCCTTTCTTTGCTTTATGTTTGATTGTCGGGCTATTTTGAATACAGCTTCCATCAAAATAGACTACTTACTAGCACTTATCCTGTACAGCACTAAGGCTGTTGAATGAAATGAGACTTTAAGTATCCAACTCTCACCATTGTGTTATTACCTAGGTATTTATTCCAAACGAACTTCATCCTTCCAACTTAGTGCAGATGATAGTAGTGATATAGTAGTAATCCCACTATAGAAAGAATAAGGTCACTCTTTCGTAATACACATTGCCCTTTCTTAGAGAGTTCTCTGTTGTTATAGAGCTCGGATCTTGTACTAGGTGTGAACCAATCTCACACAAGGGCGTCGAACCGAAGTACTCCGAATATGAAATGCTAATTGCGGAGCTCAATATTGTTTACTTCCCACAGGGCATTGCTTTCGAGGAGACGCAGTTGTCTTTCACAGACAAACATAAGGATGTACCCCGTACCAAGTGGTTGAGATTCTAAGGAAAAGCAAGGACTGTCCCAGCCTACACCTTTATCAGCAACACTTTACACCTGCATATGCCATTCAATAGTTTCCTGCATACGGAAAAACCCCGCACCAACATCAGGAGGCAGTGTAAGAGATTCGGTAACTCAAAGAGAATGATCAATTTGAACCTCTTACTGAACGCGTTACTCCTGATACACATCAACATTGAAACATACAAACAATCCGCGTTGATGGGGTAACCTTAGTCTTCCAAACTTTCACGAAAGCACTAGTACCTAGGTACACACGGTCCTGTGGATGCAGGAACCGAGCCCAATGTTGATTCCTGCAGGAGGCTTGTACAACGGGGGGCAAACAACGCCACGAAGTGACAGGTCCAGACTCGGCATATCCCCGGGATATCACTGAGCGACGATCGTCATAAGGAAGTGAAGAATATTGGATGCTGGATTGCTGCGCTCCGTACTTCATGCTCTGTCTCCTTTGCAAGAATAATTGACAAGATGCTATTCGAGACCGGCCTCACCAGCCACCTTCGCCCCCGAAAGACCTGGGATGCATAGGTATCCGGCGCACGGCGGGACTCAATGAATTGCTGGAGTAATAATCTCCTTTCCAGCCTTCAACGACCGACCGGTAGACTACCAGGTCGATCGGTCGATCAGATCCACTGTAACCAGCGTGGCCGGGAGATTTTCAATAGACCAAAAAGTGGAGAGTAGAATCTGATGCATCGGCTGTCACCCGGGGGGGGGGGTTGGACACGCACCTTGCTTGTACATACGCGATAAAGGCGATCGGACACCAATACAGGCCCAAAATACAGACTTATCTGTGAGCTATTAATTGTTCTTTTGGAATTCTTGGGCCATTGCTCAGAGCAAGCGGCAAGGCAGTCGTGGTTGCGAACAGCGTGGGCGCCTCGCCTCTACCATGTTTTTCAGTGATCACGTTTTCTTTGGGTAAGGACTGGACGAGTTTTCAAGTGACCTTGCCTCGGTGCCTTTGTAAAGGTTAAGGGTAGAAGACCGCGCAAATAGTCCGTACCCTATAGGAAAATTCTGTCGATCGTATAGCGCACTCGGCCCGGAGTAGTTAGTGGCATTCTATACGGAACAAGCCGGACGGACTTGACTCCATTACCGGCTCCCGACGGTAGGAAAAAGTTGGATACTCCGTCCAAAAGCGACAACCAAACATCTGCAGTCAATGCGGGTTGTCGTCATCTCGTGAAGAAGAACTCCATGCCAAGCTGTCAGGAGCTTGGGCGTTAAGCTACTGAGAGAAAAGAGAGTTAGGGCCGGTGTTCCTTGCCTGAAGTGGCGGCTGCAACGGAGAAATGGTTTGCAATGGTGGGTGCCACGGCATTATCTATTGGATTGATAAATGGGGAAGACCTGCAGCCTGTGCACACAAAATGTGACCTATAAATATGCGAAACGTTGGTGTGAAGCTCCGACTGTGTGGAGAAGGGAATTCGCCGATTTGAATGGGGTTGGTCTATGCAAGGAGTCATGGTCATTGCTGAGTTGCCTTAGTGAATGTAATGGCGTGGTGATGTACGGAGTACATACATACAAATCATACATTTAGAACGGAGTCCTCTGTATTGTGGAAAGGAGATGTTGAGAATGGAGGGCTGCACCTGGCCATACCTAGGAGAGTCCTCCTGAGAAAGGATATCGTATTCTTCTTCCTTCACGCCTTGTATTATCATCCTAGATGACCCCTCCGAGGGAGAATATCCCTCTGTTGCATTACAATCGCACACCCCTAGCCCATTAGGATTGAAAGGGGGACGATTGTATGTTAGCTATGTTACTCTGTAGTCTCTCGGAGTAGTCGGTAAGTACACAAAGTATGAAAATTTAGTCATTGCAGAGACCAGATTCACTAAAATCGGCACTTGGGTTACCGGACTCCAATGCAAGTGTGTTTCGAAGTGAGGCTAGTGTCAAACTAAAGCGCATCCCCCAGGGTCAAGGGGAGGAGTTCGTCGTAGCGTGTTTGAACTAAACTCGGCCCCACCGGGCTGGCACGGCGGCTAACTTGGCAATGTGATTACTGCTCGTCCCATGGGTGCAATGGAAATCCCAGTATCCACCTGAGCGCTTCAATTTACAGTGGTCTACGAGTTTTCGGTACGGATGGATACCTCTATCTATAATTCCCGGCATGGTTTGACCAACCCCTGATTTTTCGGGCTCTCTATACAACCCTGGCCCGTCTTTCTACCCTGAAAATCTCCCTTCAATCTAGTTGTCGCCGCCAGTTCTTCCTAGAGGCTGCTAGTTCAGCTCATTCGATCCAATGATGGCTGAACCGACTCCACTCGGAGGTGCAGCCCCAGCGTTAGGCGCATGGGCCATGACCAACGACAGCTCACGTTGATCTATCTAGTTTTTTCCCGACCGTCACTCTACTCGATTTAGGTTTCGTCGTCTCCAGTCTCGCGCCACGAGAGGGTGCGCGTCGCCGGGGGTGAAACTCCTCCCCATCCTATCCCGCTTGGGAGTTCTGATGCAAGGGCATTGGAGGGGTTGGACTTCCCATCCCCCCTCTCTCTCCCTCGACTAATCACATGCTTCATGACCACAAGGACCGCTCGCGCCATCCTCTAGCCATGCAGGAGGTGCAGAATGCAATGCAGAACAGGAAGAAGGAGACCAGCAGTCAAAGAAAAAGCAAGTTACGGAGTACAGAGTACTCCGTAATCAGGGACAGCTTCTTCTACACGTGGATAGGGAGGGACCACCCCCCTCTTCTCAATTGATTTATTTTATATTATTTCAGTCTCCTTTCGGTTATCGGTTCTAATGTCTGTATTTTATTTTTAAATCCCAGCGCGCGCTCCCAAAAAAGGCCCTGGCACTCCTGTGGATTCCTGAAGTGGGACCTAGTTCTTCACGCCTTTTCTCTAACCCTTCTATCCGTTGGTTCCAAGGTACCTACCTGTACTGATTGATGCTATCGAGGGCGGCTCCCCTGTTCATTCGGTTTAACCCTGGTTCCACTTGTCCTTAAAGACCTTTCTCTGCCCGTGTCGTGCATCTGGTGGGATCCCCGTTACATTCTTACACCCGTGCCTCATATTAACCCCGGGGACTGGTCATCTCCTGTTTCTTTTTTTCTCCTTTACTCTGCTCTATTGTCATTACTCCTGCTATTACTTATTACTTCACGGGCTGGTTCTCGAATTATCTGCTCTATCCTGTGGTTCGTTGACGAGCTCATATTTGCATGAGCATCCTGCTGGCTCATCCCGCTGGCAATATGTACGAATCCACCCCATCGTCGTTGGGTCTTCACCGTCTGAGCAGGCAGAGCCTCCAGAAAAGATATGAGTCTGATGAAGAAGATGTATCTGAATCGGATGCCGGTGGCCATGACTTTGTGCCTTCGCCTGTAGGCTCCCAGCGAGCCGCTACATTCGATTCCGACCTTAGCGCCGATGAGGCTTCTCATGATGACCCTGATTCTGATAGAGACGAGCATCTGCTGGCTCCGGATCCTCTCTCAGCCGCCAAACGCCAGCGTCCAGTTTCAATGGATACTCTCAAGCGCAACAGTGATGCCACCTTTGGAGACAGTACCTACGTTTTTGACCTCGAGGATGACATGGTCCTCGAGCTTCCTTCGCCAGATAGTACGCCAGCTCTCGCCTCCAGCCTCTTCTTGAAGCCCTCAATCTATGTACCCCCAACGTCAACACCAGAGCTCAAGTCTCGGTCTCGCTCTGCTTCCCCGTCGTCAATCTTTTCAGTGGAGCACGCCGAGGTTCAAATGGCGAAGAAGGTCATCATGAAAGAGCCACCAACCCGTCCAACCTTGGTCTTCATCAATTCCTTGGGACCACGCTCGAAGGCTCCTAAATCACGACTTAACCAGCCTCGTACTCGGGGGAATCCTCGTGATCGCGAGTCCCGAGTATTCATGCCGAGAACCGAAAGTACCCTCGAAGTGCCCCGTCTGATAGAAGCCTATCCATCACCACGAGAACTTGAAGACAAGGTCTCATCAGACCGAAGCGGCTCTACAAGCTCCACGCCCTCTATGACACCCCTTATGGAAGGTGAAACAACTCCCGGTGCCACAATCGGCCGAGTATCCGAGATCCCCGTCCTCCCATACATCCCACCCTCACCACGAGTACGACCTCAATCAATGTATCGCCCACGATCACGAACCCCAGCCTCCGACAAATCCTTCCCACCACCCTCAACCCGTCAATACCGACCCACAGAGCCCAACCTCCGCCCCATCTCAGTGCGCAGCAACAGCAACACCAGCATGCCATCATCTTACTCCCGCCCAACCTCCCCCTCCCGCGATGATATTCGACCAGGCTATATCGCAGACTATTCGGACGCAGCCTCCCTCACACGAACCTGCAGCCCTGTCTCAATAGCCTCATCCCCTGGAACCTGCCAATCTCTCCACGGCCACTCCTCAAAGCATAGCGTCTCAAATATACTCGCCCATCGCTCCCAAATGATGCGCCATATGTCCCGAAAACACTCCGCATCATCTAGCGTCTCACTGAGCAGTCTCCGCTCCGAAATGGATACTGCCCCCACAAGAAACACGGCCTCTTCCTCTCAACAAGTCCCCAGTCCCGCACCGTATGATCCTCGCATCGTGCGAAAATCAAGCCAGCGCCGACACGGTCGTCATAATAGCTCCGCTCATACCGGGAAGGGCTTTATGGGATTGAAGTTTGGAAAGAGGTCTTTTACAAAGGCTTGATTTGATTATATCCTAATTCCTTCCTCCCGCCCTCTTCGAACCTACCTTACCTACTCTACGTTTTGAAGTGTATTAATTCAGTAATGTTTTCAACGGAGCGGATCTTGTCATCCGATTTTAATGGGGGTTACGGTGGTGTATGGGTGGAAACTTGTTTTTGTTTTCCAGTCTTGGATCTGGATCTGGATTTTGACTTTGATTTTCACTTTGAATTGATTTTATTTTGATTGGCGCTTTATCTGGGTGGTATTTTGTTCTTCAAGTTTTCGCGTCTTGATTATGTTGTTGTTGGCTTTGGAGACAAGGTCTGTCTTCATGGAAAGTTCAATTTGAATTCAACTTTTGATTAGTACGGGGTATTTGCTACTACTACAATATACTAGTTACTAGTCCTTTCGACCTTTCTTTCTTCAGCTTCACCGCTATTTCTACAAGACTAGCTGATCTAACTTTTCTGGGTCTTCTAAAGTTGACCTTTTCGGTCAGTCGCCGTTGTCATTTAAATTGAACCACGCGTTGGCACTTTATTTTGCAGATCACCTGTCTGTCTCTGCTATTTACGGTATTTGGTTCGGCGAATACTAGCTAGTACCATTTCTGTGATTTGAGATAATATGGATAGATACCTAGGCTATGCCCGAATAAACCGAGTCTCTCCCGAGAGATTCATCTTTCCGATTCGCTTTGCTGTTCGAGTCTGAATTTTGAGGCATAGCGATAACGCAACCGCGGAACCAGAATTGAATGGCATTCCCACCACGTGGGAACCGTTGGCTGACTGGCTAGTTACCTATTCCGTTGTGCAAATTCAGAGAGTTGCGCCATTCTTCTCAAATTGTGTAAATTACGTGTTCCCAGCCACACGGTTCTGTCTTTGTCGATCATCTTCACGTTACATGCGCGGAGAACCATGTACTCACTCTACTCTATTCTGCGGTGAAACCTCGGGGGAATCATCCGTGGCCAAGAAGGACGAGCTACAAACTCCGTACAAATTACGGAGAACAGCTAGTAGGTACCATCAAGATCACGATGAAATTGCTCGCCAGAGCTTAAAGGAAATAAATGACGGCACGCAGCTATGTGGTGTATAAGCTAAAATGAATCCATCTGACAACGGGCTCAAAGTGTTGGGGGGGGTTCGACTCGATTCGATTCAGGTTTTGCCTTGCCTACTTCCGTGCCTCCAGGGCAGACTTGATAGCATCACAGGAAGTCTTGGCGTCACCAAACAGCATTCTAGTTCCAGGCATGAAGAACATCGGGTTAGGAACGTCGGCTAGGTAGGTGGAATGTCGTTAGTCAACAGTACTCTCAACAGTACGGGATGTACCGGGGATTAATATAAAGTAAATGAAGTACGTACCGTATCCACTTGACATGCCCCGCTTCATGACAATCACTTCTTTACTCTTCCACGCATGCAGGACGGGCATTCCCGAGATGGAAGAATCCGGCTCCATCGCGATGGGGTTGACAGTGTCGTTTGCCCCGATCACTAGCGTAACGTCCGTATCGCTGAAGTCCTCGTTGATCTCGTCCATCTCCAGCACAACTGCAAAAAAAGGTTAGTCTATGTCATACCTGACGTTGGAGTGGGACTTACTGTCATAAGGTACGGACGCTTCGGCCAGAAGTACATTGCACTGACCAGGCATGCGACCAGCCACAGGGTGGATGGCGAAACGAACATTGACACCGCGGGAACGTAGGATGCTTACGATCTCGGCAAGCGCGTATTGTGCTTTAGCAACCGCCATTCCATAACCGACAATGATGATCACATTTTCAGCCCCGGACAGAGCTTCCACAGTATCATCGACGCTGGTCTGTGTGACTTCTCCCTCGATCTTCTTCTGTGTTTGCGAAGTTGGAGTGGAGAGACCACCGAAAAGAACATTAGTGAGTGAACGGTTCATGGCCACACACATGATGTACGAGAGAATAGAACCGCTAACGCCGATCAGCGATCCCACACTGGTAAGGAGTGGGTTGTCTAGCATGAGACCTTCAGCAACGAGCGCGAAACCAGAATAAGCGTTTAGTACAGTGATGACCACGGGCATATCCGCACCACCGATAGCAGCGGTTGTCGTATAACCTTTCAGGAAACTGAGCAGGGTATTGCCACCAAGACAAGCGGCCGCAATGCCAATGCTTCCGGGTGCCATGGTTAAGAATGCACCCATCGTTGCAACGTTGCTAGCCAGGAGGGTCGAATTGATGACATGACGGCCTGGAAGGATTTTCGGGGTAGAGGACATGCGACCAGCGAGTTTCATGAACGCGACAAGAGAACCGGTGAATGTGACACCGCCGATAAGAACACCCATATACGCCGTGACCATGTGTAGTGTCGTGATATCTTGAATGTCTACCAGCACACTGCCAATACTGGTAAGAACAGCCGCGAGACCTACCACGGAGTGCAGGGCGGCGACGGTCTGGGGAAGTCCGGTGGGTGTGATGCGACGCCCAATAAGCCCGCCAACGATAGCACCAGTACCAGCAACACCAGCAAATTGAATCAGCGTCTCGGTGTCGAAACCCACTGCAGCCAGCGAGGCAAGAATACCGGAGACGACACCAAGAATACCGAATATATTACCCCGACGAGCAGTTTGTTGCGAAGCGAGCGCGGAAATAGAGCTCATGCAGAGAATGGAGCTAACGATGTATCCCGCTTGAATGATACCAGCCATGCCTGTGCTTGCGGCCGCGATAAAGCCACCTCCAAACACAAGACCCGGGACAGCATACAACCAGGGGTATTCCGGTGGATCAGTGGGTCGCTTGAACATGTCCAGCATGCGCTTGCTGACCACAAAACCACCTGATACATTGACGAAAGCCAGAAGAACCGAAGCTGCACCAAGATATTCCGGAATGGTAGTGGGAACAAAACCACCACCCATAATGAACAGTCCACCAATACCAACCATACCGGAGATCGCATTGGTCACACTCATCAGAGGTGAGTGTAGGGCTGGAGCGACGCCCCACACGGCACGATATCCAACCAGACCAGAGAGACCGAATGTCATCATGTTACTCATGAAAGCGGGACCGGTAGCCTTTCCGAGAGCCAGGGTAGCCCCCATCACTCCCGTAACGGTAGTAACTTCACGAGTGACCTTCTGCCAAGGAGTCAATGCAAGTTCTTCCTCTTTCTTCGCGGCAACGGCCGAAGCCTCCGGCTTCGGAGCAGGTGGAGGTGCGGGAGGAGCAGCCGGTGGAATCACCTCGCCGTCCCGGGTGATGATAGATCCGCGAACCACCTCATCCTTAAAGTCAATTCCGAAAGATCTGTCCTCGGGAGCCATCGACAGAAGCAATTTGGTAATGTTATTCGAATACAGGGTCGAGGCCTGGGTCGGCAATCGAGAGGGGAGATCGGTATAACCAATAATCGTGACATCCTTGTAGTTCGCGAGTTGACCAGGAATAGTTGCTTCGCAGTTACCACCCGCCTCGGCGGCAAGATCAACAATAACCGAGCCGGGTTTCATAGCCGCGACCATTTCCTTAGTGATCAATTTCGGCGCAGGCTTTCCGGGGATCAGCGCAGTGGTGATAATAATGTCGACCTCGCGAGCCTGTTCCATGAAAAGCTTCATCTCAGCCTCGATAAATTCCTTAGACATTTCCTTGGCGTAGCCGCCCTGGCCAGCGCCATCTTCCTGGAAATCGACTTCAACGAACTCAGCACCAAGCGATTGAACCTGTTCGCGCACAGCGGGACGAGTATCGAAACCGCGAACAATGGCCCCCATTCTCCGGGCCGAGGCAATGGCACTCAAACCGGCCACACCCGCGCCGATGACGAGAACCTTACTCGGGGGAATTTTTCCAGCAGCAGTAACTTGACCAGTCAGAAAGCGACCGAAATGGTTTGACGCTTCCAAAACAGCCTTGTATCCAGCGATATTGGCCATTGAGCTCAGGGCATCGAAGACCTGAGCTCGCGAGATCCGGGGAATTTTGTCCATAGCAAACGAAGTCACACCCCGAGCAGCCAGAGCATCCACAATAGACTTATTCTGAGCCGGGTACAAGAAAGAAATGATTGTAGAGTCTTTGCGAAGAGCCTCAACCTCATTGAAAGGGCCATCGACCTGGGGGTTCCGGACCTTCATGACAATGTCACTCTCCGAGTAGACGGTATCGCGGTCGACCAGGGTCGCCCCGGCCTTTTCGTAGGCATCATCCAGTAGTTGTGCACCTTCACCTGCGCCGCGTTCGATCAGAACCCGGGAGAAGCCCTTCTTGAGAAGCAGGGTTACATTCTGGGGGGGTGATGGCGACACGGCGTTCATTCTCGTGAGTCTCGCGGGGCACACCGACAGTCAACGAGCTATACGGAGTGACTGTGACAGGATCCGAGTCGGTAGGAGTGGTGGAGGCCGAGCGTTTGGAGAGAGTCCATTGAGGTGAAGGAAGCGCGGGTCTCTGTCTCTTGGAGGGAGATGAAAGGAAGCCATGCTGACGAAACTGGGAGACTGAGTATTTTCAAAAGAAAGGAAATTAGCAACTGAACTGGGCTGGACTGAACGGGAATAAACATAAGGATGAACATGCATAGTCTATTGCATGACTCACCGTGCGTCAACAAGGGTTTCCCCGCGCGCGCTATATTGGGGACGAGACAAGGTCCCAGCGACCGCAAGGGCAACGCGACACTCATGATAGTGTCGAGAGCGACCAAGGGTTAATAGCGCATTGAGGGGAAGTTCGCAGTGGGATAGGAGAGAGAGGAGAGGAGAGGAAGTAAAAAAAGAAAAGAAAGAGAGAAGAGGGAGAAGGTGGAGTCACCTCGGAGAAGAAAGGAAGGAGCAAACCCTTAAGGAAGTAGCGATGATCGGAGTCAACCTCAACGTCAACCCTCTTTTTCTTTTGATTAAATAGACTTCACTCTACGGAGTAGTATTCCATTTCCCCGATGAAACGGTACGCGTTAGTTCTGGGTTTGACTTGCGTTTGCGCCCTGGCTTTCTGGAACAGAGGATTGGTCCAATTTTCACGCCACACTTAATCCCCGCGGGGGGGTTTGTGGAGGAGATGGGGTCGGATCTCCCGGATTCTCCACCGTGACGTTTTGGTTCATCGCCAGCCATCCTCTATCCCGGCGGGCCGACAATATCAGAGGGGAGATTCATGCCGATGAATATCGAAAGAATAATATGGGCCGATTTTGAAGCATAGAAAATACCCGATCTTCAAGTACTTCCATGCCGATGCTATGCGATGTAAGGCGATGCTCATCTTCCCCGCACGTCGCATTGCATCAGCTTGGTCCGCGCCGAGACGAGACGGTGGTCAATGCTGGGATAACAAGTGCCGGCTCCGGAACTAATGTCTTTTGAGGGGAAGGGAAGTGCTTCTGTCTATGTGTTACATTAGTTCAAGTTACATCCTCAATAAACTAGCAAGAACATCTATCTAATTACAGCCATATGGTTAGCATGATGGTAGCTTTTCTTATTGGAAAAGAAATAGAGCACAGGACCATCTCGACCCTCTTTTCCTCTCCCGGTCTCCTTTATTTTTGAATCTCAGATCTCTCAGGACATCTCCTTCATCGTTGGTCCTCACTAGTCTGACCCTGGATGTGAGAAGGAGGTGAGATTTCCTCCACCGTTTCAACCGCGCCCTTGGTGTCAATGAAATGCGTGATGCGGTCGCTAGGAAGCCAGGCACTCTCAGGCATGACAAAGTAAGAGATCAGAGCGAAGATGGTGACGCCAACCATAATGATGGGTGCATCTAACGAAACGAGTCAGTTGGAACCCCCACAAGAAACAAAAGAAGATGGGGTGGGGAAGATAATCTTACAGTTTAAGTTCTCGCCAGTTACCGGCCAGGCATAGGGAGAGAACAGAATAGCCACAACCCATCCATTCCAGAGCACACCGATGACCTGGAACGGCTTACTCCATCGACCAAGACTCCACGCGGGTTTGGGGAAGCGTTCCGGGGTGCAAAATAGTCGGCCGAGACAGATGAGGCCGTAGGCAGCTGCACTCGGAACACCAGCCGCCGAGACGAGAGAAGTGAAAGCCACGTTCGATGGGAGGATGGTGCAGGTGATGAGCGCGGCAACACCCCAGACGACGATAACAGCGTTCCGGGGTTGACCGTTGTGCACTTTGGAGACCCAGCCGGAGAAGGGGAGCACACCATCACGGGCAACGGCGAAGACTAGGCGAGACGCGGCGATGATGGCAATTGCAGTGTTCTATAAGACAAGGGTCAGAGGAGGAGCAAAATAGGAAAACTGATGGTGATTCTCACAAGCCATAGGGCGACGATGCAGACGATGTTCATAGGGATATGACCACCCCTGCCAAGAACGACGTCGTAAAGTGGGACGAATGGCTGAGGAGAGCCGAAGCTAAACAGCGTATCGGCATCAGGCTAAATGTGAAGATATGAAATAAGCAAAAGGCTTTAAAAAGATAGACAAGAGGAAATTCGATCCAGCGGAGTCGTAACATACCGCACAGAACAGGAACAAGATGATCGTTGCAAGACCACCGAATCCACTGGCGACAGTACTCCAAAAGATACCGCGGGCAGCAGTGATCGAGGCATTCTTGGTCTCTTCGGCAACATGACCTGAGGCATCGAATCCGATCAGAATACCGGCAGTGGCCAGGTAGGACAGACACCAGTTCCAGCCATCGGGAGCACCGGTGCCGTTGTAGGTTGTCATAAACGCCTCGTGAGTGGTACGGAAGCCCCAAGTTTGAGCGGTACCGATAGGGAGCCAAATGAGGTTGAGAAAAAAGTCGAGCATGACGACACCGGCCGAAAGCCAGAAGACAACCTTGAAGTAGCGAGGCGGCATGAAATTTAGCAAAGCAGCCAGGGCCAGCAGGACCTCAGTGCAAATCCACTGGACAGCACGGAATTTGACATCGTCAGTGTCCTTGGGGAAATCCACGTCGAAGACAGTAAGTTCTGCGAGCATATAGTTGACGGCGGATTGAGTGTTACTGGCGCAGAAGGTCGTCCAGGCTGTGGTACTCCACCAGGCCACGATGAAGCCCATCAATCTTCCAAATCGGGGGCCACCGGCTTCAGCGGCCCAGAGGTAAATGGAACCAGCCGATGGGGATGCAGAGCACACCTCAGCAATGACGGCGGCGGTAATGAAGGTGAAAACCATGGTGACGAGGTAACTAGTCCAGTAGGCCAAGTTTCCACCAGCGGCGATACCAGTGCTGTAGGTCACGCGCACTCCGCCGACGAAGTACAGCGCCGCTATATGCGATTGTCAGGGCACAGTTTCTTCGAGAAAACTCGTCAAATCCAGAGTATCCAGGGTCTACACACCAAATGTTGTAGCGAAATTCTCAAACAATGTGTATGTCCGGTGCAGCACCTATGAGAATCAGATTTGCCGCTTCTCAACCATTATACTTTGATACCATCAGGCAATGTATCATACCGGTTTGTATCCCATTGTCCGCTATCACATTAAGTTAGCCACCTGTAGCGGGCCCATGCTGCACCGATTATGAACTCACCAACAGCGCCGCATCATCCTGCGACGCGGTCTCGCTGCGATCACCCTCACCAGCAACGGCGTCATCGCGACCGACGACGAGATCCTCGTGTTCGTGCGCCATCTCTAAAGAAAGAAAAGAAAAGACGACTCGATTATTTGCGACCAGACTAGACCGGATCACACCAAATCAAATCAAAGCAGACGGTGCTGAAGTCCTTCAAGGAAAAAGTTGAAGCGACGAAAAATTTCCCCAATAAACTTTGGCCCCGAACTAAAAGCACCCCACCAGGGAAGTTGGAGGTGCCCGTGGTCCACTGCGCTAGTCCTTAGCTTCAGCCTGGCCAGGAGAGAAGAGCTTATTTAGGAGATGGTTCCATCTTTTCTTTCCGATTTCCGAGGGGAGCGCAGTTAGCGAGGGTTGGGAGTCGACAGGGTTAAAGCTCGGGAGAAACTTGAAAAAAAATATACTATATCATAAAATGAAATAAGAGTGAGATTTACAAGGATTCCAAGGCACGCACAATCACCACAAGATCAGGTTATTTTCATTCCGATTTACGCCGGAGGGGTCTGGTCCGTGGGAATTCACCACGGACAACCCAACTCCACTTTTCCACTTGGCCCCGCCTCGTTCTCGGGTTGGGAGTACGGAGTAGTTCTTATAGAATACTATGGCAAATATATAGTAAAATTGTGTATATGTATCGAGCAGTGGTAGAATGTAGTAGTATGGGTATATTTTCAATAGATGCGGACATGGAAATCCCATGCTATACAGTAATATCGAGAGCTGACCGCATGTTCGTTGATCATGAGATGCAATGTATGCCAGAGATGCAGTAGTCTGGCGAAATATCATGTGATTCAGGTGAAGGCATAGTAAACGTAGAGGCGTCAAGTCAAGTCAAGTTAAGGCAGGAGAATGTTCGACTGGATCTCGTCCAGCCTTTCTGTCCACCCCTCTGGGAAAGCCCGGCGTTTGAACCACAACTTCTCAAGAAGTTCCAGCGCCTTATCCACATTCCGAAAGCCGAAGCGTCCGAGTTCAATCATGGTCTGTCGAATATACTGCTGTTCGTCGTCGCGTCGCGTCTCCTGACCTGCAATGAAGAGCGGCCATAGAACAGCCAATTGACCCACATCCTTCGACAACTTGCGGATGAGAGTTAGGATACGCGTCACAAGCATGTTTAAATATGTTCGGTCGGAGATCCACCCTGGTCTATCGGCTCCACCGATTTGGTGCAAATGCACAAAGGTCGCCTTTTCGTAGGCTTCAATGCACCCGACATATTCCAACATGTCGGGGTAAGGGAAACGACTGAGTTCTTCGTCGTCCAATTCCATATCTCCCAGGACCTGGAGACTAATCGGTGTACTTGCTCGCCAGACCACCAATTGCTGGAAAATATCTTTGTATACCATGTCCTGTTGATCGGGTGACATCCACGGTTTATCCCGCGCAAACGAGCTGATAGCCGCCTGTACCTCCATCATCCCGGACCAAGCGGACCGAAGCTCTATCAATCGCGGATTGTCCGGCATCGATCCGGTAGACAAACTCGGGATTCCAAGATTATATTCCCATCCGCCGCCTAAGGTCTTCCAATAGTTTCCTTTCACGACTGTGCCACCGGGTGTCGCACATGCACCTGCCACATCCAGATATGATAATAGTGAGACCAGGAACGATCGCAACGGATGGTTTGTCTCCACAAGGCGTTTCTTCTCGCGGGCGGAATCAGTGCCATGTGGATAAAAGATGAGATTGTAGATAGCATGCGCGCCCTTGAGGTGGACCTTCCAGTTCTGTTGCTGCGAGTCCATCATCTGGAGACAAGTGAAGACGGGTTAGCGGAAATGCTACTAACTTCGTACATTATTTTCGATTTCTTTGGCTCACCTCAAAAAGACATAGCAACAGACATGTCGCAAAGTCCGCCATTCCTAGTTGTTCACCACCCGATTGTGCATATCGATCGCGAAACATCTTGACCACTTCTCCGTATTTCCTCATGGCATGCTGGAAGTGCTTATTTTGAGGAGACCCAACGGAGGTATTTGCGAGATGCAATGCGCCAAGGGCCTGCATGGCCCCGGCCATGGATGGAGACGAGCGTGCGAGATCAGGGAAATTACTCCGATAAGGATTGGTATTCATTGAATTGTCGTAGATCAGGAGGAGGGTCGAGACTTGGTCGATGAAGTGGGTGAAATATCGGTCACTAGTAAAATTAAGCGACGAGGCCATAAGGTTGTTGGGCGATGTAGGCTCTTGGAAACAGAATTGGAATTGGAATTGAAACTGTGCTGGAGGGACGGTCGTTGGCGATGCAACCAGTTGCTCGCATCCTATCAGGTCCTTTTTCTTCTGTCTCCTAACCATAAGACTCCCCGCGGACGATTCACTGGAGGTTTCCGGACTCGCTGTTTCCCTCCTTTTCCTTGTTGGCTTGGGCGGTGCCGGTTGTGAATCTGATTCTTGCTTCGACGGACCGTACACTTTGAAGGTCATCCGGCCCTGAGTGCCGTCACACTCGAGTGCCAGTCGCACGCAGTTGTTGCACACGGGAGAAGCCTCATCGCAGCGGACATGACGACGACGGCAGGTCGAGCAACCTGTGAAGCCACGATGGTGCCAGCGGCGAACGCGTTTTCGAGGTGGGGCAGACGATGACTCGGGCGTCTCGAGGGAGTCCGACTTGGTCATCAATGGAGTGCCGCGCATCTCCATGGGAAATCGGGGGAAACTGGATCGACATTAAGTCGAGAGGGTAAGAGGATCGGACATGGTCATGGTCATGGAGAGAAAAAATGAACAACTAGAGAGTTGAGGGCGAGGCTGCGAAGAAGTCTGCCGTTTAGCGCGCGCCGCAATTTGAAGATCGCCTGTCGCGGTTATCCACAATCACCACTTAAGGAGCCCACAGTATGTTGATCCTCCACTTTACTCCGTACACTTTCTTTTGATGGTAAAGTGGGGATTCTTTCCTTTGAACCTTTGGTACGGAGTTATTAAGGAGACATTCAGGCTGAATGCCAGCTATCCCCGGGCCTCAGGCCTTAGGCCTCAGACCTCCCCTTCCCAAAGCCAGGGAGAGCATGGGACTCAGATCATCGCCAATTTGGGCATAAAGTGGGCGAGATGCGGAGAACCGGAATTGCTTCATTCCCACCAGTCAAACTCATCAGTTGATCACGGCCTTTATACTGCGAGTGCCCACCAGAAACGATTTCAATTTGAATTTGCGTAGACCCTATAGCTCTACCACATATGCCTTCGCCATGCTTCTCCCTCAAACATGTGCTCTCATTCTTCTTTGCGCGATTGGAGTCTCAGCCATAGACGCATCTAAGCGGCGGGAGATCATTCGCTCATTCAACCCTCATCGCAATACCAGTTCTTCCACAACACCCTTACAAGTTGGCAATGGAAATTTCGCCTTTGGTTCGGATATCACGGGACTGCAAACATTTTCACCTTTCGCCATTCAAAGTTCATGGGCCTGGCATAATTTTAGCTTGCCGACAGTCGCAGGCCAGACCTCTCCTTCGGGTATGTTAAACTACCTTTGTGGATTGAATGGATACTACTCATCATGTTATCCACAATAACAGACTTCACTGGGGTGGATTGGTGGTCATATGGTCGGCTTGTGAACTATGACATGCCCAATCCAACAGAGCCTAATATTTCGAACTGGTTAATTCAAAATCCTCAGAGATTGAACATGGCGAATATCGGTCTTTCCTTTTTCGATGACCATGTCACAGAGGAGAACATTACCCACAAATCTCAATACCTCGATTTGTGGGAGGGTACCATCATGTCAAAGTTCCGCTACAATGAATCTGATGTGTCGGTTCAAGTCTGGTGTCATCCCGACCAAGCTGTTACTGGAATAGAGATCAAATCAGATCTTACATCTTCTGGGAAATTAGGAGTCTTCTTAGACTTTCCATACTCCGATACTAACAAGTTTGACGCTCCTTACGTCGGCGTGTGGAATGACACCACGAATCATGAGGTGACCATGGACCCAGCTCAGCATACTGCCTCATTCAAGCATACAATCGACAGTAATTCAAACTGGGTAAAAGTCACTTGGAACACTGCAGGGTCCTTCTCAGCACCCTTGAATGGGTCAAACAAGTTTGTTCTTCGGCATAGCGGATCCAACACCCTGCGCTTCGTTGCCGACTTCTCACTTACTGATAATACACGCAAAAGTCTACCACAATATCAGACTATCGTTGATGCATCGAAGAAATGGTGGGCAGATTATTGGACATCCGGGGCATTTATAGATCTCTCCGGCACAAAAAATGCGAGTGCTAGAGAGCTACAGAGACGCATCATTCTTTCACAATACCTGGTGGCTGTCAACGAGGCGTCTTATTACCCCCCGCAGGGTAAGTTGACGGTTGAAATGAGCCTCCTTTTTTTTTTTGCTCGTCTGATCTATTATATTTTCAAAAACACATACTAACCTGGAATACAGAATCTGGTAAAGACTACATCTGCTTGGCCTATTATAGATTTTGAGCGTGAATAACCTTTTGATAGGACTCGTCAACAATGGATGGTATGGAAAATTCCATGTGAGTCACGTCCGATCATCCCTTTAGGGATAAACCCTGGCCATTTACTTAAATCCTCCAGCTTGAAATGTTTCTGTGGCATTCCCTGCAATTCTCACGATGGGGGCACCTAGATTTGCTTTCGCGAAGTGCCCCTAGCACCTACCAACGGTTTCTGCAATCTAGCATTGAACGAGCCTCTGCACAAGGATATGATGGTGCCCGCTGGGGGAAAATGACAGATGATACGGGCCGCAGTGCCCCTGGCGAAATCAATGCTCTTCTTATCTGGCAGCAACCGCATGTGATGCATTTTGCAGAATATTTCTACCGGGAGTCTCCTCATAAGAAGACACTCGAAGATTGGGATGAAGTCATTAGCGCCTCTGCGAACTTTATGGCATCGTACGCTTGGTGGAATGAGACGACGAAGGTATACGATTTGGGACCTCCCATGTACCCTGTCAGCGAGAATACCAACCCCAATGCGACGCTCAATCCGACATTCGAGCTAGCTTACTGGCGGTTTGGTCTGGAGATCGCATGTAAGTGGAAAGAGCGTCAAGGTCTCGTAGCTCCGCAAAAATGGTCTACAGTGAGGGATAATCTTGCCCCGCTCCCTATTATCGATGATGCATATGCCGTCTACGAAGGAATCCCTGATATGTGGAAAAATGGAAGTACAACATTGCAGGATCACCCCGCCATGGCCGGTATCTATGGTCTTCTTCCGCCTCCCTCGGACACCGCATTGTTTAACTTGACTATTATGAAACGTACAGCTGAGCTCATCAAGGATAATTGGGATCTAGATGACTCTTATGGTTGGGACTTTAGTATGCTGGCGATGAACAGTCTACGTTTGGGTGACGTGGAGCAAGCCATAGCTTACCTCTTGGATCCTTTGTTTGCATTTGACGATGCAGGGTATCCCGAGGGAGGAAGTCGAGTTCCAACGCCATATATGCCCAATACTGGGGGGCTTGTTACTCGCTGCTGCCATGATGGCTGGTGGCTGGGATGGAGACGAGGGTCCACATTTCCCTTCCGGCTGGGAAGTAAAAGTTGACGGCTTCACGCCAAGCTTATGAAAAGGGTTGTAAGAAGCATGACTCTTCTATGAATTCTAAACCTGTTCTACCCGTCTTTCAATGGGATTCTGGTGCCAGGCTTGTGTCATTCAGTGTTAGAGAAGGTGAAAGAAAAGGGTTTAGTTTAGCAGGAGTCTGAGTGGGATGTATATGAGATGTATCATTTTCAATGCAATGTGTCCTGGTAATACCCGAAGAAGCTTGCATCACAATCGGAATAGAATAAATCAAATTATTTATTACGCCTTACAAGACGTAGATCAGCGAGCCATTACGCAAAGGCTGCGGATAATAGTCCGCATAAGGTCATATAGGCGATGCTATGCGACGCCTGCGTAGTTGATTGGTTAAATCGGTAGAGCATCGTTGTGTGTTCATTTTATACTACTGAAGGAATATAACTGCCCAGATGCGCATAGGGAACTATCACAAAACATCTTTCAATTGAAACCTTACATATAGTCTCTTCTGATGGCGATCGGGTGGAGAGTCTTTTTTTCATATGAGCTCTGAGGTGTACTACAGCTTTCAGTACTAGTAGGAAATACTTCTTCGGTATTGAGGATTAGAAGAAGACTGGATTCTGAAACGGATCCTCTGAATTGAGTTCTTCTCAAGTAATTACGAACTTTATTGGAGCATAACGGCTTTATCGGACGAGTTCCTGGAGGGCGTGGCGGTAGCTGCGGGGAAACCACGGAATTCATGCCGATCGCTGACTCCCCCTCTTCCCAGCTCGGAGACCCTTTAAAAGCTATTGGATTGGTCGGAGATTATGATTTCAATTGAATTATTTGTTTTCTCTCACAATTCATCATTGATATGTCTTCCCAAGGTTCAAGATTGCAGGGCAAAGTCGCCATCGTCACCGGTAAGCCCATGCTGATATTTCACTGAATCTCTCTTCTATGACCGCCAGTATGCTAAAACATTTGCTTCTGCTTATAGGAGGAGGATCCGGTTTCGGTGCTGCGATTGCTCGTCGATTTGGCGAAGAGGGGGCCAAGGTCATTGTCGCCGATATCAACGCAGAGGGAGGCGAGAAGGTGGCTGCCCAAAACCCCGCCAATCTGGTCTTCCTACGCGTGGATGTTACACAAGCAGAGGAGTGGAGACAAGTGACAGACCTGGCCTTCTCTAAGTTTGGCAAGCTGGATATCCTGGTCAACAATGCTGGAACTACCTATCGCAACAAAGTTGGAAGCCCCCACTCCATTAACTCCGAAAGGATTGGCGATGTAGAAAGCTAACTTTGGCACAGCCCACCACTGAGGTCACCGAGGATGAGTGGGAACGTGTGTTCAATGTCAACGTCAAGAGTATTTACTTGGCTGGTACGATCGTCATCCCACGCCTTATCGAACAGGGCCATGGTGGCTCGATCATCAACATCTCCTCCACTGGTGCGGCTCGCCCACGCCCTGGTCTCGTCTGGTACAATGCCTCCAAGGGTGCGGTTACAAATGCTACCAAAGGCCTTGCCGCGGAGTACGGTCCTCAAAACATCCGCGTGAACAGTGTGGCTCCTTTACTATCTGGCACCGGCCTGTTCTCCATGTTCACCGGGATGGAAGATACACCCGAAAACCGCGCCAAGTTCCTCGGCAATGTGCCTCTGGGTCGTTTGACCGAAGCCGATGATATAGCCAACATGTGTCTCTACCTTGCCAGTGACGAAGGCAGCTTCATTAATGGTACAGAGATGGTGATTGACGGCGGAAAATGCATTTGAAAGTAATACCTAGGTAACTACCTGAAAGAATCACTTGAATTAGCGCCTATGCAGTATCAATATGCATTTACAACACTGTGCGGCGGTTCCTACTTGATCCAATTTTACTGTATGCAGCTAGTATGCTGGGTGAAATCTACGCCGACTCGAACTTAGGATACCCTGATAGCTCTAAAGATTTCCTTTGAGGTCCAGGAACAATCTCCGAGTCTAGCTTTCAAGTCATGCTTGAGTGTAGAAGCATCTTATTCTAGGCACTACCTTTACTGTCTGTTTTCTGACGTGTGAATACTATTTTCTGTCCCCTCTCTAATAGTTAGTAATGCCCCGCACTGGCTGGTACCAGTGTGGGCCTACCCAACCTGCCAAATTGCACCATCCAGCCTGGAACGTTGCAGTATCGCCTTCAAATCTTGGGGTTATTCTGCAAAGCCACCAACTTGCTGCAGCAAAAAATGTCGTCCAACTTCCAGTCCATTCCAATTATTGACCTCTCCCTCGCCAACTCACCCGCGACTCGTTCGGGACTCCTGCAGCAGCTCCACCAGGCCCTCATCGAAGTGGGGTTCTTGTATGTCTCAAATCACGAGGTTCCACAAAATGTCGTATCCGATCTGAAAGAAGTCCTTCCTCGGCTTTTCAATCTGGACCTGGAGCACAAGGAGAAGGTAGCTCTATACAACTCCCCCCCATTTCTTGGGCTACAGCCGAATCGGCTCAGAAACAACCGCCGGAGTACAAGATCAGCGTGAGCAGTTTGAATTCGCAACTGAGCTCCCATATACATGGTCTGAGGACAAACCTCGGTATGAAAGGTTGAAAGGCCCCAATCAGGTATGTATGCTCGTTATATGAGGATTTTAAACAATGATCTGATTATTGAAAACGATGTAGTGGCCACGAGGCGAACCGGATATCCGATTGAAAGTCGAAAACTTCATCAAAGAACTCACAAAGCTGAGCGAGAGATTTTTACACCTGGTAGCCGAGGCTCTCGGTATCCCACCCGACCTGCTATTTTCATTGTTATCAGATCAACATCGCCTCAAGCTTGTGCACTACCCGCCCTCTGATCCTTCTACCGATTCCATCGGTCAAGGCGTCGGTCCTCACAAAGATTCATCCGGCTGGTGGACATTTCTACTACAGGCATCCCCTCCAAATGTCCAAGGCTTGCAGGCTCTCAACAAAAATGGCGACTGGATTGACATTCCAGTCATTCAAGATACCTTCGTTGTGAATATCGGGCAAGCTTTTGAAGTGGTTACTCATGGCGTTTGCAAAGCAACAACTCATAGAGTCCTCTCTGAGCCACTCGAGAGGTTCAGTGTACCTTTTTTCCAGGGCGTTCGAGGCAATCTCACAAAATCAGAAGCTCTGGACATGTTGAAAGGCTACCTTTCCGCTGAACTATCATCTGCAGAAACGGATATTGGAGCAAACATCGACTCGGCTTTCCTCCGAGGCAAATACGATACATGGGGCGAGTCTCAGCTAAGAACTAAAATCCGCAGCCACCGCAATGTCGGCCAGAGATTTTACGGCGACGTGTTTGAAAAGTATACCGAAGACGATAGCTGAAGAGAAATGTGTCATTGATTAAACATTAAGAGTGGCTAAACGCAGCAAATAAAACACTTTTCACGAGCACGATTCCACTGTGTTTAAAGTCAATTCTGAAAGCACTGCTACTACTCGCACCCAATTGCCCCCTTAAACTTATCGTCGTACACAGGAGTTTGCATAGGATTCGCACATTCACAATAATCGGTCTTATATTGGGCGTCTGCGCAAGCACCGGCTGCCGCCGTAGCACAGTACTCATTGGTACGGACAGAAGTTGTCATTCCAGGAGGGCAGGATCGATGAGGCATGCAGAAAGTCTCATAATTGGAGCGACCATCAAGCTTGGTCATGCTGTACCATTGATCTGTGGCGCAGGCGCAAGAGACGACTAATCAAGGATGTTAGCAACTAGCCCTCGAGAATTAACCCGACAAAACGTCCGTGGAGCAGAATCGCTATTCTGCACTGCCTTTTCAAAATAAAGAATGACTCTCTTACCACTTATTGCTGTCCAATGCCCATCGGCAAGTGTCCCTTCATACAAGGTGGAGGTTGAAAATGGAAATGCGCCATTATGGCACTCTGTTGTGATCCAGTCTGCGTCGGTAGGGAAACAGGTCGATTCCTCCAAACAGTGCTCTGGGTGCCAAACAGAAGGGAAGTAACCGCGATTACATGTGATTGGAGGCGGTGGCTGAAAACAATAGACCACAGGGGTTCCCATTGTGCAGTCTGTTGTGTGCAGAACCGTTGAGCCATCCGAGCAGCGGAGATCATGATAAGGGGCTTCAGTCACCATTGATGCTGCAGGGGTTGTTGTTGCCGGCACCAATGGCAACCCATCCCTGGTGGTCTCGCGAGGGAATGCATTTATAGTCACGGATAAAGTGGCCCAGGAGAGTATATAGAGAGTTAGCTTGCACATTATGTCTGAGAATAGTGGTGTTTAAGTAAAACGATTGAGGAGAGAGTCAATTGAGATATTATGGAGTGCAGTACTATGGAAGTGACTAGAATGCAATTCCAGATGAGATTCTAGGGTCTTTTATGTCTATCCCGAATTTAATTATACTACAAAAATAAACAGACAACTAAAATCACCTCACCGCAGAACTATGCCGGGACAAAAATTTCTGGCTGTAGTAAAGCATCAACGGATCGAAATAGAACCACGGAGCTACCCCAAAAGCATCCCACTGTGTCGGTTGGAAGATGATGAATGTAACCAATTTTTCTAAAAGGGTAAGATAAAATATCTGCAGTAAAAGTAGCATTCTGTGGCGTAAATGGAAGGACCAGATCATGATGTCTTGGACACAACAGAACGTTTTCTAGCAGGCCCAATTGTGCCGCGATAACCCCTGCTAGTAAGACCCCATCTGAGTGCATAAGAAGCCTTGATGTATTCATTGAGTAGGCATCAAGACCGTTGTTAGCCATGCAGCTCCTCGTGCAACTAACCCGAAGCCTCTAGCGGGGGATAGCTCTTAGCGAGATTACGAAGCCAAGAGATTTATGCCTAGACAGAAATTTCTGATTATATTAATTGGCGTATATGAGCTGGAGGTCCTTGCAATCTGCTCATTTCACTGCATACCAAGCCAACTTCCGTGTGTTGTCAAACCCGCGTCGAGGTGACACGACAAGTATACAGAACACAATACTCGCATATGAGACAAACTTAGAGGTTCAGCAACATCAGCTAGCTATCATACTTTTGATTAAGTAATATTGCCTATCTTTAGGGTGCGATATTGGCTTCTCAAACGTATCTACTGTTTAACTTCCTTCAATTTCGCCATGCAGGCTAGAGTGTCGGATAATAAAAGAGGTAGGGATGGGTTGGAAATGGCGATGGCACACAAATGTTATGGTACTGACTGTGTCAGGTAATGACAAGAATCCATGGTTGTCTTTGCTTATGGCCAGAACAAATCCAAAATTTGAACAAGAAGAGTATTTTGGTCACCAGAAATCGAAGGAAGAGAAACATGTACATGAATAAAACGGCCCAGATCAGTTTCGTAGCAATCAAAAATCTAGATGACTCCGATGGAACTGTAACTGTGTCTTGGGTTCCGAAAATATAGCAGCAGATGGCACGTTCAACGTGAAATGCTCCTCAGATTTTATATTCATACTTTAGAATCCATGTTTTCTGTGCATGCGACCGTGGTTGTGCAGGTGTCGTCGTGCGTGACCAGAGATCTCTTGCTCTTCAGGTTGCTGCTCTTCTGAAACAGTGTCTCTCTCGACAAACGAGACAACGGTAGATGTCGAGGTGAGGGTCGTCATGGCAGTAGAGACAGTGGTCGGGGTTCCAGTGATGGTGGTGTAGGGCACACCCTTCGTGTCGATCAGGACTTCAATCTTACGCTCAAGGTAGACAATCTCCTCGGTGAATGGCTCGGTTGAGATGGAAGTGGTAGGGGTGGGTGTTGGTGTCGACGTCGATGTGGTGGAAGTAGACGTCGTTGTGGCCGCTTCGGCGGTAGCCATGGCGGCCACATTGCCGAGCATGTTACCAGAATCCACCGAGACACCGAGCGAGAGAGAAAGAGACGGAATAGTCAATGAAGGGATAGCTGGAATTGCGGTGGTCGTTGTTTCGGACGACCCCATATCCATCGTGGCGTATGCCGGGCCCCATTGAATGGCCATATCGCCGGGAAGCCCACTAGGGCATTTCTGGGTCTTTTCGCTCTTCAGCGCCGCAGGCATGTCGAAGAAGCACTTCTGTTGCGTGTCTTGGGACTGGATGTCAAAGACAGCGCACTCGTCAACGTTTCCATCCTCGTTTTTGCAGGTGTTGATCGCGCTTTGCAGCACACCCGACTCCCAGCCATTCATGAAATCTCCGTGGTAGCCGTAGCCAGTGGGGTCAGCATTGGCAAGGGCAAAGTATCCATCCACGTCCTTGAAGGCATAAGTGTTCCAAATAGTCTCATACATGAGTCCGACGAGACGCGTCTCGTATCCCGTGGGGCAATCACCTTCCATAACGAGAGAAGGATAAGCGACGTGAGACTTGTGGTCGTCCGAATCCAAGTCCTTGCCATTCCAGCACTGGGGGAACATAAGTTCCAAACGAATACCATCGGTACAGTGTTCATCGAGATAGGTTTTGTTTGGCATGTAATGGCGATCAAGTGTTCCTTCGGCCGTAGCGGCGTAATTCAGGCAGTTAAATCCAAGGGCTTTCTGTTCAAGAGCCTTCTGGGAAATCTGGGCGCCGGCCCAGTTGGACTTCGGGGGATCAGGAACAGGCCAAGTGAAGTTACGCTGGAAAGGGTCTCCTGCGAGCATGCGGAATCCTGCCGGGAACGCGTTGATCTTCTTGCCGGGAGCCTTGTCGTTGAAGTAATAGCTGCATATTGCGCCAAGTTAGTATGATATCCATAAGCCCGAGCAAAATAATATATCAATGACATACGCAAGCATTCCTCCAACTTGGTCAACCATTTCAGCAGTACCATCCGTATGCATGAAATAGAGAGCAGGAGTCCAGTAGGCGGACTTATCCTGCTCAACACCACAGGACGTGCAGTCAGATTCGAGAAGAGTCTCATAGTTGGCCGACATGCCAAAGTCTTTATATTGGATCAGCATTATAGGCAGAGAGACTTGTGGCAGTTAACTTACTTCCACCTCCATGGACAACGTGAACATGGGACGAGACTTCGCCAGGGTCAACAATGGGGTCTAGCCGAGCGACGCCAGTTCGCCCACGGCAGGGAAGACGCCAGAAGGCATCAGTAACGGGGAAAGCAGCCAAAGAGGCCAGTAGAACGGCCATGCGATAAAGGTCCTGCATATCGCGATAGTGGGTTGAGCCGCGTCGACGGGCTCGAAAATGGATTTTTGAGAAAAGGAGTGGCGCCTTCTTCAAAGAATGGCAAAAGAATAACTCGCCAGGAGTACCGAGTCAATCGGCTAGACGCGAGAAAGCGCGTTACAAACGGCAAGAATCGAGTTGTATACGAAGTCGGAGAAGTTGTCGCTAGATATCATGTATCATGTTAGTCGATGGCAAAGGAAAGCCGCGTGTGGATTTGGGTGAAATGGCAAGCCCTTTGGCAACAGCTCGCGACGTCGCCCAACGGGATTCCGCGCGTTTTATCATGCGTCATTGAAATGATCCCATTCGAGAAAACGGGAGATCAATAGGGATGCTCCCTTAGGGGAGGCAAGAATGATCCCTTGCTTCGGGGTAGCCACCCTTGAGGAGAATGGCCCATCAAAAACAATAGAATCACGGAATAGAGTATGGAAGCATGCAGCTTACCGTTCAATTTCTAAACGCGCTCTCTGTGACGTAAATAAATAAATACAATCGACAGCCGAGGTTCCAAATCGGAGGTGGTTTCCTATACATCAGGCCTGGTTAGATGCAATGTTCTCTCCCAACCATACAGCCTCCGGAAGAAATTAAACAGATCAGACCCACCTTGACTGAAGTTGATGAATAATACACTGCCTTTTTCAAGGGAGATGTAGAAGAATTGAATAGTTCAAAAAAAAGAGGGTGGAAAAAGCCGTAGGGGTCAACGAGCGACAAAGACGCCCTGAGATAGGGCTAAAAAGGGAACGTAGGAGCCAGGAAAGCGAAGGAGAAAGCACAAGAGACCAAACAGTAAAGAAAACTGCCCACGCACCGGCAGACCAAGGGTATCAAGTACTTCAGACCTTGACAAGGCACTAAGCGACTCCGCCAGCCCCTTGGTCGGTCGCTTTATCTTGGGGGAGATTAAATGACTCGGCCAATCCCTTCAGGACCCAGATATTGGGCCCCTCTGCCCCTCCGCAGGGCCTTAGCACTCCAACCCATACTGACGACGATTGGATTCATTCGGAATTAGAATCAAAATGAGTAGCCCACCCCGGCGACGATCCACTGGAGCGACTGCGATGGGTGGATAGACGGGCACTGCGCAGGGCAGAAAAGGGGGTCCCTTTGGTCAATCTTTCAGGGGACTAACTCCATAGTTAGAAGTCTCAAACTCCTGGCATTGCCCACCGTTTGCTATTCTTCGAGTCAGAACGTTAGAAACGAACTTGTTCCTGACCAGTGGTCTCCATCAGCCTGACCTCCACCGTCTCGGGTTGCCCCACGCTGTGCCGTTGGATTGGCTGCGAAGGCGCATCATGAAACGACTCGTCATATTAAACGGGGTCTTGGGGGTTTGTCCTGCTCGAATTTGGGGCCGAGTCGGTAATGAGATGCTCGATAGACTTAATATGCTAGTGCCGGTAAATTATCTAATTGCCTGCCACTGGCAGTGGGCATGTCATTTGTTGGGAGTCGATTGGCACTGGCATTCTGTAGATCGAACCTCAATATATCCCCGGTCAAAGATGATCGACATCGGGGCTGAAAGTTCAACTTCAACCTACTGACGGTAGGACACTCCAGGGCTTCTTGTCACCTGGGCAGTCTCAATACAACTCGCAAGATCTCACACGGCCATGGTTTGAGATTGCGGGATCAAATCTGACTGAGGGGGGGGGCCGTACCTGGGCACTATCGGGGCTTGCGGGGGCGGTTGGTGGGTTCCGACTCGAACAGATCATCCTCAATAATATTGAAACAATAGCCGGTGGAGTGGAAAGCTTGTCGGCTTCTTTCCCATGATAAATTTAGCTTGGGATACGTAGGTAGTAGAGTGAGAATAAGAATTGGTGGATGTCAGTGAGCCGCAAGTATATCCCTAGTAGGTATAAACTTGCCACTATGAGTCGCCGTTACATAAAAGAGTAGATTGTACATCCAGTCAACATCTATTCTAAAATCATAGTACATATACAGTGCACAGGGCTAAATGCCACATGTATCAAGCCTTGACATCCTCCAGAGCTTTGCGAGCACGCGTTATAGCGTCTCGTGTGCGGTGGTCAGTGATATCTTCAGTCTGCTTGCCACCCTCG